CTCTGCAGTGTAAATCATACCTCAGAGTGTGTCTTACCTTTAGGCACAGGGACTGGCCATTTGTACCCATGAGCCAGTCATTGGCAGGGGCTTCCCTGGGCGTATGAATTCCCAAGGACTTCTGGGTCTCCAAACAGAGGACACAGCAACAGGAGTTCAAGGACAGTGCTCTGAAAAAGGGCATAGGTGTGAGGCTTTGGCAGCAAAGCACACAGAAGCTCAGGGGTGTAAAAAGGGATACAAAGGGACCTGATGCCCGCTATTTTGGGGGGAAATCACGGCTTCTTGGAACAGAAGAAATGAAGGAGGAATAAAGGAGTAAGGAAAAGGGAAAGAACAGGCACCAGTGAGAAGATGGGGTGGTGAGATGGTCAGGGTTGAGGAGGAGAAACCAAGAAGCAGCCCCCCTCAACCCCTGTTTTTCTGCCATACTCACTACCGCTGACAGTGGCCATTGTCACAGTGTCCCTTACAGTCCTCAACAACATACTGAGACCTCACTCTGCAGAAACAAGTGAGGAGGTGATTCAGCCAAGGGCACAGGCAGCAGAGAAGCCAGAAGGGTCGCCCCAGTCCTCCACTAGATGGATGAGGCTGGCATGAGGTCACGGGGCCAAGGGAGCGCTGGGTACCTGCTCATGCCAAGCCGGGCTCTCCAACAGCTGCAGGTCTAGAGGTTCAGAAGTCCCTTGAGCTCATTTAGTCTCTAACTGTCTCCTCCCTACCCACCTCTCACCCTCCAATGGCCTCTCTATCCATCAGGAGCGCCTACCCCTTCACCACACCGGCTTTCATCTGTCACCGTTTTCCCAAGCCATCTGGCGTCGGGGCTTTCTGCAGAGGGAGCTGAGAGGCAGTGAGGGAGAAGTAAGTGAATGTGCCAGGCCAAGTCAGCAGCGTTGTCCTCAGGGTCATGGCCACTGCTCTAATTACTTTGAGGGTGATGAGGTAGTTCAGGCCAGGGATGCTAAAATAAAAGCCATTTATTGGGCACTTGCTATGTGCCAGGTTCTGTGCTAAGGGCCCCATGAGCATTATCTCATGTCATCACATCCAATGTTCACAGGAACTGGCATACTAGGACTTTTGTGGTTACAAGTAATAGGAACCCCAGTCAGACTGGCTGGAGGAGAAAAAGACTTTTTTAGCTCATGAAATGACAAAGTCGAGGGGAATTAAGCACAGCTGGTCCAGGCGTTTAGCTAATGTCACCGGTCTCTCTTCATCTTTCTGCTATGCTTTCTTTCCTGTTGGCTTCACTCTCAGGCAGTCAGGCAGCTCCTCTGTTCCCCACCCTTCAGCGACAGCAATTTGGCCTCCAGCAGTCAACTGGGTGCCAGTAACCAGCTCACTAGCCTTCTCAGTGGTTCATACTACATATAATGGTGTTTCATTGGACCAGCTTGGCTCTTACGTTAATTTCTGTACCAATCACTGTGCCAGGGGTGGAATACTCTGATTGGCCAGGCGTTGGTCATGTGCCCACATTTGGAGCTGGGGGTGTGATTAGCTTCATCTGAAACACCTGGGCTGAGAATTGGTGCGTGGTGGTTCTTCAAAGGAAAAATCTACATATTCTAGCTAGGAGAGGGGACCGAGTCCTGGCATGGAGAGATAAAAGATGAGAGGTCCACGTGCCGTTTGTGTTATGCTCACAGCTTCAGACAGATAAAATAATGATCTCAAGACCATACATCTAGCAAGTGGCAAGGTGGTGATTAGAAACCAGTATGATTCTAGGGTCTGAGCCCTTGACCACCACCCCAGGGCTGCTTTGATGAGAGAAGAGGTGGCACCGTTTCTGGAGTCTCTGAAGGGCTGTGGCATTGTCTCTATCAATAAATATTGATTCATTTATTGGGAATGAGCCATGGATTAGGTCAGGAAGCATGAATTCTACCTCTGGGCTGCCAGTTGTTGAATATATGACCTTGGTCTAGAAATATAACTCTGAATCCAGTTTCCTCATCTATGTACAGTAGAATGGCATGCTCTCTGCCTACTTCATGGGGTAGATAATTGGACATGAAGATGCTTCTGCATCTGCTGTTCCTTCTGCGCATGGTGACTGTTCCTTCAGGCTGAGTGAGGTGGCCCTTCCTCTGTGCACTGCAGTGATATCTGTATGAGTCTATTTTCTCCTGAGGGCTTGGACAGACTTCATTCATTCATTACTTTAATAAGGATATTTGAATACCAATTATGTGCTAGACATTGTGTTATACACTTTTTCTTTATCTGATGTCTGGCCCATAGTAAGTACTGGGTAAACTCTGGTTAAATGGAACCTTCCTGTCATTCTCCTAGTGTAGCAGTGAATGACGCTCTTGACGACTTCCTGTCTTCTGCTTGTTGCTACTGCTAACCAAACACTAGGGATGTGTCCGGACCTCCACAATGCAACTGAAAAAAATCACAAGGTAGATTTTGGGGAAATGTGTTAAAAATCTCAGGAATGAGAGGGAAAAAATCAAAGTTATCAATAAAAGATGCTTGGGCAAGAAGGTGACCTCACTGATAGGCATTCCGTGGAACTTGCTATCTTGGGCAGCTTGGGAGACAGATTTTAGGGAGCCCCAGTGGAACCCCATGACCCTGGCTGGATGTATCCCAGCTAGTTGGATTGAGCCCTAATCAAGGCACTGGCAGCATATGCCCAGTTGGGTTTCAGAATTGCTATGGACCAGTGAGTGCCTGCCACTTCCCCGCTTTTTTTTTAAAAAATTAAATCTTTATTGTTCAGACTATTACAGTTGTTCCTCTTCCCCCCCACCTCCCATAGCTCTCCTCCATCCAGTTACCACCCCACCCTCTGCCCTTACCCCTCCCACTGTCCTCATTCATAGGTGTACGATTTTTGTCCATTCTCTTCCTGCACCCCCACACCCCTTTCCCCCCATGAATTGTCAGTCCACTCCCTTTCTATGCCCCTGGTTCTATTATATTCACCAGTTTACTCTGTTCATCAGATTTTTTATTCACTTGATTTTTAGATTCACTTGTTGATAGATATGTATTTGCTATTCATAATTTTTATCTATACCTTTTTCTTCTTCCTCCTCTTAAAGAATACCTTTCAGCATTTCATATAATACTGGTTTGGTGGTGATGAACTCCTTTAGCTTTTTCTTATCTGTGAAGCTCTTTATCTGACCTTCAATTCTGAATGATAGCTTTGCTGGATAAAGTAATCCTGGTTGTAGGTTCTTGGCATTCATCACTTTGAATATTTCTTGCCACTCCCTTCTGGCCTGCATAGTTTCTGTTGAGAAATCAGCTGACAGCTGTATGGGTACTCCCTTGTAGGTAACTGACTGCTTTTATCTTGCTGCTTTTAAGATTCTCTCTTTGTCTTTTGCTCTTGGCATTTTCATTATGATGTGTCTTGGTGTGGTCCACTTTGGATTCCTTTTGTTTGGGGTTCTCTGTGCTTCCTGGACTTGTAAGTCTATTTCTTTCACCAGGTAGGGGAAGATTTCTCTCATTATTTCTTCAACTAGGTTTTCAATATCTTGTTCTCTCTCCTCTTCTGGCACCCCTATAATTCGGATATTGGTGTGCTTGAAGTTGTCCCAGAGGCTCCTTACACTATCTTCATATTTTTGGATTCTTTTTTCTTTTTTCTTTTCTGGTTGAGTGTTTTTTGCTTCTTCGTATTTCAAATCTTTGACTTGATTCTTGGGATCCTCTAGTCTGCTGTTGGATCTCTGTATATTATTCTTTATTTAAGTCAGTGTATGCTTAATTTCTAGTTGGTCTTTTTTCATATCCTCCAGGGTCTCACTAAATTTATTGGTGGTTTCTAGAAAATTCTTGAAAAACCTTATAACCTTGGTTTTGAACTCTATATCCAGTAGTTTGCTTTCCTCTTCCTCCATTTCTGTCATTTGTGACCTGTTTCTTTGTCTCCACATTTTTTATGCTTCCCTGTGTTGGTAGAGTGACTTTGTGTGCTAGGTGTCCTATAGGGCCCAGTGGCTCAGCCTCCCCAATTACCTGAGGTGGACACTCTTGGTGCACCCCTTTGTGGGCTTTGTGCACAGTCTTGTTGTAGTTAAGCCTTGATTTTTGTAGGTATCACTGGGAGGAATTGGCCTCCAGTCCAATTGGCTGTGAGAATCAGCTGTGTCTATGGTGAGGGAACTTCTGTGCTGGAGACACCCTTCTGGGGCAAGACTTGCTTCAGTGGGGCTTTGGTGCTCACTGAGTCTGCCCCCTGAGTGTGTCCCTTATGGATCTGAGGAGTTGTAATCTGGATGGTCCCACTCTGACCACTGGGTACACTGGCTCTTGGATCTAAGGAGGTGCTAATTTAGCCTCTGCCTGAGGCTACCCAGCAGGAGCTACGAAGAGAACTGCAGATTCCCCTTCCTTGTTTGGGGTTTGGAGGTGCCCAGATGAGGCCCAGCTGTGAAGCAATGTAAGCTTCTGTGGGGCCTTGGGCCTTCTCCTGGACGTTCTGGGTCTGTCTGGCCCAGCTGCAGTTTGTTAGGTAATTTTCAGATTGCAAAGGGCCAGGGCATTCATATGCAAAAGCCTCTGCCGCAGCTTGGGTGGGGCGGGGTCTCATGGAATCAACAGGGTGGAGCAAACAGCTATGGCTGATCCTCAGCCATGCCCTAAGGGGCCGTGCGTCTCAGTGCCCCGATAATTGCTGCAAGCACCTCTGAGAGAAAGCTGCCCTCGAGTTCCGAGTTCTGCCCGCTGCCAGACAGTCCAGTTTATCCCCGTATGAGTCTGGGTTTCCAGAGACTTCCTGGAACTGGAGTTCAGAGCCATCGAGGGCTTGTGACTCCCTCCTGATTCAAAAAGACACTGCGTCCTCAGTTGCCAGCCCTTGCAGCATGCACGTCCGTACCTCTGTACTTTACTTCTGCACCTCCTCTGAGTCTCAGTGTGCTTTTATCTTTCCTTCTAGTTGTAGAATTTCCACACAGTCAGCCTTCCTGTGGTTCTGGATGATGTCCGTTTTGTCTTTTAGTTGTAGTTTTGAAGTGGTCGTGCGAGGCAGCAATTTCTGGGGTTTACCTATGCCGCCATCTTGGTTTCCTGACTTCCCTGCTTTTTAATGGGATGTCCATAGCAGCATGCCTGTCTCACCATTGTAGATTTGGTAAGTATTTTGCGTGTGTGGTTTTTTTTTTTTTTTTTTTTTTTGGTGGACCATAAGGAATAGTTTTACTTATTTTACAAAAATATCTTAAGAATTTGCCCATTTGTTTCCCATCAAGATGAAAAGAAAATATAATCAGGGCCATGCTAGGCCAAGCATGAAACTTAGAGACCAGGGACAGTATCTAGCACTACTCAAACATCCAAACAGACTGTCCACTCATAATTAAGCTCCACTCAAGAACAATAACATCATGCTGGTGCTTTCGTAGTCTTATCAGAAAGTATCAAACGAAGGTTCTCTACCAACAATGAGGACTCATGGTCCTTGCTCGTGTGGTCCTGATGTGATCTGCTGACTGCAGTGTTGGGAAGGGGCAGTTGTCTGCTTGCTCAGACCATGAGGAAAACAGCCAAGTTCACCCATCTGCAGTGGGTGTCTATTACGTCACAACTGCTCTCTGGTCGCATGAGATGCCATTGACTCCAGGACCCACCCCCATTTCATCAGTGTGACAACATGCATCTTGGAATGAAGATCTCATCCAGAAAATGGGGATAATAGTGTCTATCTGGTGTGTGTGTGTGTGTGTGTGTGTGTGTGTGTGTGTGTGACACAGAGAGACAGAGAGACAGAGAGAGACAGAGACAGTCCACAGCACAGCTCAAGGCCTGTGCAGACTCTCAGTAAGTGGCGGCTGAGGTATATTACTACAGCGACTCTGCATTTGGAAGTGGACACATGGTAGTGAGGCAAGTACCAAAACCTCAGGAAAAGGAAGTGCGCACCAGAGCAGAGAGGGGAGGCCCAAGGAAATGGCAGTGCATGCAGTGCCAGGGCCTCATTAAAAGCAATGCCTCAGAAATGCTTTGGTTACTAGAGTGAAAAACTCAAATTAAACTTTGGATCTGGGAGTGGGGCTCTCTAGCTAGGGAACTCTGTCAGCTTCCCTGGAGAGCGCTGTGGTACTTCCTTTAGCCCCGGGAAAGCCAGGCGCTGCCCGGGAGCCTGCTGTGTTCTCCGGAGCTGCTCTCTCCAGGACAAGGTGTGATAACAGCTGTCCCTTGCTCTATCTCTGGGTGAAGCCTTGCTCTCCCAGACAGGGGCCTTGTTTATGCTGTGTTTCCCTTCTCCTCAGAGAAAGCCAGGAAGGGATGGAGAATGAGGAAGTTGTAGGAAAGCAGCAAAGAAGGACTATGATTAAAAAATATATATTTTTAAGTTTGTAGCTGCAGAATTCTTTGATCAAATGAAATTTTACCATGAACTCTAACATGAAATGCAGCTCTTTAAAGGAGCTGCTTGCTTGGTGTCAACACTGGGTAGCATTTTTGCAATATCTAGTAAAGCTAAGTAAACATGGTGACATTCTATGACCCAGCAATCCCACTGGTTGGTATAACCTTGGAGGACCGCTTCTCAGACTTCAGTGGGCAGATGAACCTGGGGGGCTTATGAAAATGCAGATTTGGGCTTAGTGGCTCCTGCATGGAGCCTGAGAGTATGCATTTCCGCCAGCGCCCAGGTCTGCTGCTGCTCAGACACGGGCCCACGGGAACTGCTTCCTAAAGTTCCTTTTGGCTCTGACTGCCAGGAAGAAATACATTCTAGATTGAAACCCACTATACACTTATCTATAATTGAAGCCAAAGTTTTATGAAGCAATACTTACCCTTGCTCTGTGATGCACTCTAATAGTTTCTCTTCTCTTTTGGGAGGAAAAAAGGAAAAAGGAGTGTTGATCACAAAGCCACTGAAATGATTTCATTATTCACCAGTGGGTCTCAAGCCATGCTTTGAAAAACAGAACCCTAGAGAAATTCTTATACCCACGGACCAGGAAACAGGAAGGCTCACTGATGCATTGTTTGTAATAACAAAAAAATTGGAAAAAGCCAAATAAAGCTAAAGAAACAGCAACCCGAAAGGTCTGTCCACAGGAGGATGTATCAGTACATTTGTGATGAGCTATGCACACAGTGGAACAGCGGAAATAAATGAATTTGAACTGTATGAGTCAGCATGTATCTGAAACACAACATTAAGTAAAAACATAAGCTGAAGAATACATGTTATAGGACACTATTCGTATACAGTTTAGAAACAGGCAAATACGTCTATTTGTTATTTAGGAGTTCATATGTAGTAAAGGTATAAAAACTCATAAGGGCCAAAACCGGTTTGGCTCAGTGGATAGAGCGTCGGCCTGTGGACTGAAAGGTCCCAGGTTCGATTCCGGTCAAGGGCATGTACCTGGGTTGTGGGCACATCCCCAGTAGGGGATGTGCAGGAGGCAGCTGATCGATGTTTCTCTCTCATCTATGTTTCTAACTCTCTATTTCTCTCCCTTCCTCTCTGTAAAAAATCAATAAAATATATTTAAAAAAAAAACCAAACAAAAACAAAAACAAAAAAAAACTCATAAGGGAACAATTAACACCAAATTCAGGAGAGTGGTTGCCTCTTTGGGGAGAGGGTGGCCTCATTAGTATGTATATATAAAGCTTCATTTTCTAAGATGGGTGGGTGATGAGTCCATGGTGCTCATTATATTAGTCTCTATCCCTTTTTTATAGGTTTGAGCTACTTTGTAATAATTAAAAATTTTTAAAGAAAGAAAAAGAAAGGAGGAGGTTCTTGGGTTGAAATTTGTAGGGGTTGTGCTAATCTAGTGGCTGCCATAACAAATTACTAAAAACTTGGTGGCTTAAGACCACAGACGTTTATTCTCGTGCAGTTCTGCAGCCCCTAAGTCTGAAATGGAAGTGCTCTCCCTGGAGGCTCTGAGGGAGAATCTGCTCCAGGCCCCTCTCTTAGTGTCTGCTGCCCACCGTTGGCATTCCTTTGGTGAGGGGCTTCATTCCTCCACTATCTGCCTGTCTTCACCTGACCTTTCCTCTGTGTCGTAAATCTCCTCTCCTTTCTCTTGTAAGGATACCAGTCATTGGATGTAGGCCCACCCCAAATCCAGGATGATTGCATCTGGAGATCCTTAATTCCTTCTGCATAGACCCTGTTTCCAAGTAAGTCCACATTCACAGGAATGGGGTTAAGACTTGGACATCTTTTTTTGGGGGGGGGGGAACAAAATTTAACCTACTATAGGGTATAAAATCTTGTCCATGAAACCCTGTCCATGGAACCCTTTCCCCTCAATGTTATCTACACTAATAAAAGCGTAATGTGCTAATTAGACCATGAAACCTTCCGGGAGACCTTTCGGACGTCCTTCCCGACAAAACCACGGTGCGGGGGCCGAGGCAGAGGTGGTTAGGGGCCATCAGGCCAGGAGGGGAGGGCAGTTGGGGGTGATCAGGCCAGTGGGGGTGGCAGTTGGGGGCAAGCAGGCCAGTAGGGGGGCCAGTGGGGGCGAGCAGACTGACACGGGGGCAGTTGGGGGCGAACAGGCTGGCGGGGGGGGGGGCAGTTGGGGGCAATCAGGCCAGCAAGGGGGGCAGTTGGGGGCGAGAAGGCTGGTGGGGGGGGCGGGCAAGCAGGCCAGCAAGCAGAGTGGTTAGGGGCGATCAGGTAGGCAGGCAGGTGAGCGGTTAGGAGCCAGCGGTCAGGAGCCAGCGGTACCGGATTGCAAGAGGGATGTCTGACTGCCAGTTTAGTGGCATCGGGCCTAAACTGGCAGTCAGATATCCCCCAAGGGGTCCCAGATTGGAGAGGGTGCAGGCCAGGCTGAACACCCCCTTTCCGTCATGCATGAATTTCGTGCACTGGGCCACTAGTTATGATTATATTGCTTATTTCTCAACCTCAGCACTATTCACATTTGGGGTTAGATAATTCTTTGCTATGAGGGGCTTTTTTATGCCGTGAAGGATGTTTAATCTACTCACTAGATGCCAGTAGCACCTCCCATTAGTTGTAGCAGCCAGAAATGTCTCCAGACATAGCCAAATGTCCTCTGAGGATAGGGTTGCAAGATAAAACAGTGCCCCAATTAAATATGAATTTCAGATAAATCTTTAGTATAAGTATATTTTAAATATTTCATGAGATATACTTATATTAAAATTATTTATTGTTTATACTAGGCATCCTGTTTCCCCTCCCCACCCGCCACACCAAATCTGGCAACCCTCCCTAGGGGGAAAAGTTACCCCTGGTTTAGAACACCTAGTTGAGAACTGGCACTACAAATTTATATTCATCAAGTGCTTACTCTGTGCCCAGCACCGTGCCACGCCCTGTTCATGATTTATTGCATACACTCCTTGAAACAACCTTGAGAAATAGGTGCTATAATTAACCTCCAGCAAACATGTACAGGGGTTGAGTTTCAAACCCAGATTCATGTTTTCATAGGTGCTGTGAGTTGTTGGGTACTGGGTGGGGGAGTGGTGTGGCTGCTTGGCAGATTGTGTATTACCTCATGCACTTAGGGGAAAATGGTGCTGTTGTCTAGACCAGTGGTCGGCAAACTGCAGCTGGCAAGCCACATGCGGTTCTTTGGCCCCTTGAGTGTGGCTCTTCCACAAAATACCGACTTCTGCGCATGGGCCAAGAAGTTTCAATCGCACTGTACGTGCGTGCCTGCACGTGGTGTTTTGTGGAAGAGCCACACTCAAGGGGCCAAAGAACCGCATGTGGCTTGCCAGCTGCAGTTTGCCGACCACTGGCCTAGACCATCATGGTGAGAAGTACTGGGTTAGAGGAAATGAGAACAGCAGAAGGGGCATTGCTAGGGGAGAAGGTGTGAGACTCTAGGACAGTGGTTCTCAACCTTGGCTGCACATTAGAATCACCTGGGAATCTTTTTAAAATCCTGATTTCTGGGCCTCATCCTCCAGAACTTCTGTTTCTTTGTTATGGAGTGGGGCCACAACATTAGTAACAAAAAAAACCAGAATTTCCAGAGGATGAGGCCCAGAAGTCAGGATTTTAAAAAGATTCCCAGGTGATTCTAATGTGCAGCCAAGGTTGAGAACCACTGCTCTAGGAGGAGCTATTTATTGAAGATGGGATTTTTATGGATGATCCTGGGATGTGGGATCATCTGCCAAGAAGAGAAGCAGCCGAGTTGTGAGCTGTGGTGGGGAGATCACAGTATTCAGCAGACCTGGGTTTGGATGTCGGTTTTCTGAGCTGGCATGGCCTTGGGTAGATGCTATAGTGACAGTATATACATTTATTGTGCACTCGGTGTGTGCCAGGTACTGCTCTGAGTGCCAGCCCCACATGATCTGATTTATTCCTCAAACGACCCTCTTAGGGTGGCTCATCTTACAGATGAGAATGTTGAGAGTTAAGAAACTTGCCCCATATCATGAGCCTGGTGAGGGGCAGAGCTGGGAGTCCCATGACCTTTTGCTGTACAGGATGATGCACCAACCACCTGGCCAGGGCCAGAGTCCATGTTTTGAAATCACTGTTCTCTAGTGTGTCACATCAATACCTCTTTAAGTCTTAGTTTCCTCCTTTCTCCAATGAAAATAGATAAAACTCATCTCCTCCCAGACTCTTAAGGTGTTTTAGGATTAAATGAGTTAATGTGTCTAAAACACCTAGCATAATAGGCCCTGACTCAGAGGAACTTGAAGTTGTTATTATTAAGGGAGGGGATTGAGGCCAGAAGCAGGGTTCCCTCCCGCCCTCCTCACAGGCAATGTGAGTTTAGCATATTGTGTCTCACTCATCTATGTTCATTTCATTTTAAAATCGACGTGCAGTGAGCACTTACAGTATGCCAGGCACAATCTCCGTTTCAAAGGCCAGCATTTCCCCACCAAGCCCAGAGCCCATAGTTGGCCCTCGGAAGTGCCTGATGAATGAGTGACTACAGGAATAAATAAATGCAGAGAGCAAGTGAGTCCTGCCTCCCCAACAAAGGCATCAATTCATCTGCGAGAATTGCCAAGGCTGGTCCTGGGATAATGGATTAGCATTGTCTACCAATAAGGGTGGTTTCATCCATCTGAAGGATGGAGATAATATATTCCTTGCAAAGCTGTTGGGTGGCTTAATTAACTAATATTTATAAACTGCCTCCTAAGCCACCGATCAAAAGCAAGGTAAAAAAACATCTCATGCTACTGGTATTAATTTACTGCTTCCCTGCACTGGGCCTTTTAAATGTGTTTCTTGGAACAGGAAGAGGTAGTGCCTATGTTTAAGATAATTAAATTTTAGATAAAGATCATCTACTCCTTGATTAGAGCTGAAACAAGCCCTTTTCCTCTTTGCCAAATCTCCACTTTTCTCATACTCAGGTGAGCTGCCTTGTTTTGGGAACATCTGCTGTTGAGACAGTAACTTTCTCTCTTTGTATCTGTCATTTAAGGCAGGTATTTCCACTAAAGTCTTCCTGGGGCCTTATCGGGGCTTATAAAAAGGCGAGAAGGGCCACAAGATCATTTGCATAACCAGCTATTGATTTGCATTTGACTTTATAAGCTGTCATGGTCTGTACAGTTGTATCTTATTTGATTTCCAAAAGCTTTGCCATTTCTGTTTATATAATCATACAAGGGACTCATGCTCCCAGAGTCATTTGAGGGGTAGAAGAAGGGACATTTGTTGAACACCTACAAATGTGATTTCATTTAATTTATTGGGTCTCAGGTTTGGCTGAAGGTGGGAATCACCGGGAGCTGAAAAATACTGATGCCTGTTCCCCACCCTCAGAGGTTATGAGAGACAGCCTTGAGGCAGGAGCTTTAAAACCTCCCCAGGTGCCCTGGCTGGTATGACTCAGTTACTTGGAGCATCCTCCCATAAACCAGGGAGTCACTGGTTCGATTCCTGCTCAGGGCATGTAACTGGGTTGTCTGTTTGATTCCTGGTCAGGGCACATGCCTGGGTTGTGGGTTTGATCCCCAATGAGGGCTCATCAGGAGGTGGTCGATGTTTCTCTTTCTCTTTCCCTTCCTTTTTCTAAAATCATTTTTAAAAAACCACGAACACACCTCCCCAGGTGATTCTAAGATTCAGCAAAGATTGAGAATTACCTATTAATCCTCATAAAAATATCCACAAACAACCCCTGCCCCTCCCTCACTTTAAAGATGTGGAAACAGAGCCTTGGGTTATTAGGGGAAGGAAATTCATAAAAATATTATTAATGTTAATAGCACATTGATGTGTGAGAATGCATTTAATTCTTACAATGACCCTTTGAGGCCGGGATTAATACGCGCCCCCCCTTGTATAGGTGAACAAATTGAGGCTTAAAAAGTGGGGTAATTTGCCCAAGGCCCCAAAACTAGCAAGAGATCATCCACAGGGGAGAGATGACTATGCTTGGATGAGGATTAGACTGTGTTGGGATTTGAATTTTGGTTCTAACGTCTGGTTTACACGTTATCCAACTTGTACGTCCTTTGAGGATCCTAGCTTTATCTTCTCTGGTGTTCCTCTGGGTTTAGGGTAGTGCGGGGATCTTAAAAGGCATCTGGAAGTACTGAGGGTTGGCATGGAACAGTCAGGGCCAAGGAGGGGACTTTCCAAGCAGTAAAAACCAAGGCTTTCTGACCCGGTGATTGGTTTTCCTCTCTTCCTCTCTTCCTCCAGTATTTATTGAGCTTGGTGTCAAAGACACAAGACAGACAAGGGCTGTTATGTAGCATCCATCATTTGTCAGCCAATATTGGAGCTTTGAATTAACCTGCAGAAGTTGGGCTGTGCTTTTTCTCTCCCTATAAAAGGAACTGAAGCTGATGTGAGGAAATAGTTTCAGCACACCACAGGGAAGAACGGTGACTGGTTATTATTTATTTGGAGGATTTTATTTTCATCTCATCTGGGAAGTGGTAAGAGAACAGGAATTTTATCACACACATCCAGCCAAATGTGCTCCTGAGTCGTTTGGTATCATGCTATTCAAATATAAATTCCCTCATTCATTCAATCCTTTCTGAGCTCCTGCCACATGCCTGGCACTATTCCAGATGATGGGGACACATTAAAAAATGAGCCCTAGCCAGTTTGGCTCAGTGGATATAGAGCACTGGCCCATGGACTGAAGGGTCGCAGGTTCGATTCTGGTCAAGGGCACATACATCCCTTGCAGGCTCGA